GACAATGACATTGACTAAGCTAAGGGCTGACATTGGCTAAGCTGAGAGTTGACAATGACATTGACTAAGCTAAGGGCTGACATTGGCTAAGCTGAGAGTTGATCTAAGCATAAGATAAACATTGACTGTATTATTGTAACCAAATATAATACTGAAATCTACAGCAAAAATATAAGCATGTTAAAATGAAGTGCTGCTGCATGGTATAACAGCAGATGCTTTGAATGCGTGTAGAAGGCAACATCTGGGCAGCTAGGAAACCCCAGACGCTTATCTCACAGCTGGGCCCAGTGATCAGCGCAATTCCTGTCATGTGATGATCAAGCTGGGGGATGAGCATGGAAAACAGACTCGGGTCTAAAAATCTGCTGGCCCTCCTTCCAGAGAGGAAAGGTAGGATTCCTCCCCTTCCCCCAGAGACGACGCCACGGCAATCTGCGGGCCACATGGTAGAAGTTCTTCCTGTAAACCCTCTGTAGGCTAAATGCAGCTAACTTGGATATGAGTGGGAAAAGCAGATCCTCATCTGGGCCGGAACCTCGAGGTGCACCTCCATCAGGAACCATCGCAGCGGGTCCTGTTTGCTAGTATGAGCAATCCTCCATCAAGCTCAGTAACACAGCATGAGAAGCTGATACCCCCCCAACTATGTGCTCAGCCGCACTGGACATCTCCCCCAAATAAGACCATGACACCAACGGGAATGAACTGGCTTGGACGGCAGCCATTGTGCGATGCGTCTATATCACGACGCTACGCTCGTAGGAATTACACCAGGTACAACCAGCACAAAGAGTGTTCTGATGGCAGTTAATCAGAACTTATCATGTCAGCCTTTATCTGTTTATAATACAAACTGGAAAACATAAACTACAAAGCTGAGGATTATATGTAATGCTGGCTGTTCAAAGGCCTTTAACATACTAGGCAACTGTGCTGCATGTTTAACTCATTTATCTGATGCTTTTATCCAAAGCAACTTACAGTAAAGGGAAGGGTTACAATTTATGTGTGTTTCTTTGAATTTGCTCTACTCATTGAGCTACAGGGGCACCATTTAGCACACTCCTCCCCAAACGCCCCCATCACCCTTGTCGCCAGGCGAGTGTGCCGCTATGGGCGTGGAGAACTTAAGGAACAAGCCCCTCCTGGAAGCCACACCCCCACACACCTTCCAGGCTGCTGGGGGCTGCACCCAAAAGGCAAACATGACCAGCTTCACCAAGGACAACCACAGACTGAAGCTGAACCATCGTCCGCTCACGTCGTCATGCCAACCACTGAAAGGGCACATGGCAGAAACCTGGGCTGTCGTTACTCAACATCTGACTGCAGATTGACGGTCTCTCCCATAGACACGGACCACTACACTCTGGTAGCCAGCCGCTATGCTGTGGTAAACATGGTCTTACCTTGTGCCTGCACTTCAGGACCACGCCATAGGCTCCTGGGAAAGGTGAGAAAGGGGACAGGGGGAGAGATAATTATTAATTTCAGCTAGTTAAGTAAACGACATGAGAAGTAGGGGTGTTCTGGGGGGATATCCCGTCTAAGAATGCGCGGTTGGTCGCTTAGCAGGTAGCAGTGTTAGAGTCTGGCCTCAGCTGCAAGACACGTTCTTTCAGACCGCACACACTGGGAGCAATGAATTAAGTTACTCCCCTAAGAGAAACACTCACCGGCGTCAAGTCTCACGTCTTTCCCGCAAGACTCGCGTCTTGCCAGTGCACAGCCGTGACATGTAAATCTCACGGGTGGTCATGCGGCCAAACCAAACTCACACGAAATGATGACAAGGTGTAGAGTGCAGTTTTCCCGGCCGTCGGCCTTGCAGAAGCAGAAGGTTTTTGGTAAAGGTCACATATAGACCAAATGACGATGATCTACCAATGACCAATTTGGACTGGCCAGACGTCAGCGAGCTGCTGCAGTGAAAGCGGACGGATCTCCGGCGAGGAATGGGGAGAGGGACGGCATGCAGAGAGCCCAGCAGAGAGGACAGGCTCATTCTCTGCAGCCCAGCAGGACACAGAAACATAGCACCACTTAGTTGCTGTGGACGCAGTATCTGTGAGAAGGCAGGACTGTGGCAGATCCATCCCAGTGCCTTGGTTGGGGCTACAATTAGTCTAAGTGTGGACATCAAGGCCACCACAGATAATTCCTGGGCCTGTGACAAAGTTACTTCAGATGGGCCCCATAATATGCCTCCCTCACTCTTGGGCCCGACTGAGACAACTTCAACTTCTCCAGTTGTTCACCTGAGACGGCGGGCCTGGCGGAGACTCCATTTCAGCAGGAATTACATGCATGGGTAGGGCGGGGATTAGCACCACCCACGTCTCACGCCCTGTCCTGTGCCTGACGAGAGTAGGAAGCTGGTACCTCGAAACCTGTTCTGTATTCTTAGAGAATCAAACCTCAAGATCTCACTCTACCTGTCACCTCACTACTGTCAAGCATTTGAACCAGTTCATTAGTGATCAGGACCAGGCAAGCCCCCACTCTGTGGGAGTGGAGGGTGTGAGTGCTCGGGAAATTCAATGAGGCGGGGGCAGCTGGGCGTACAGGAGCCGTGGAGAGAAGCCCCGCCCAGTTAGAGTCCTCGATCGAGGCTGTTGGACTTGGGTGGTGGGGGCTTACCGAAGTTGGCAATGGGGTGCTGTTTAATGATCTTGTGTAAGATGACTCACACAGGTGATGTTCCTGCCTAATCTGACTCATCCAGGGTTGTTAACCCTGGTCCTTCCCTCTCCAGAAATGCTTTTGCTTAAACGATATTACTGTGTCCGGGAGAACTGACTGCCGACTGCCACTAACGCAGCCTGGTTTTCCACTGAGGTTATTCCCAATATTCCCATTCTTCATATTTCAGTGATAAAAATAATCACAATGGGGGCGGGGGGGACACAGGAATTCAGCATCTTTGGCCACCCTACGGGCTTTTAAAATGATATTTATGACATGTGTGAAGGCCTCTCGCCAACCTCACCTTCACCTACAATCCCAAGGACCTCAAATTTATTCATCACATCACCGATGTCAGGAATCTTCATGAAGACAAATGGTGGCAGAGACGTGGCCAGCAGAGGGCGTCCTGGCTAGTGGGAGGCATGTAGCGGGCTGGCGTCGTGTCCCTGGCGGGGGCTTGTGGGTGCAGGCTGTGGTGGCTGTCCCCGCATACTCACACGCCCTCACACGCACCACGCGCGCACGCACACACCTGTAACAGCGTGAAAAAAATCAGAAAAGGTTAGTTTTTTAATGTACATTACATACATAAGTACATGTGTTTTATCATGACAAATTGACTATTGGTTGAGCCCAATGCAATTTTATAGACCATGCTAAGCATCTATTTCAGCTGTTATGTGCAAATATGTGAAATGTTTTTAACAAGAAAATGTTCCAAGATGTCATTTAGCGCAAAAAAAGTCTTTGGGAACATATTTAGTGAACAGCCATTCTGTCCAAAGCATAGCCCCATGAAGGATAGCCCCATGAAGGATAGCCCCATGAAGAGGGGTTAGGTGTATCTAGCCGTTTGATTTGGCAGAACTGGTTCGTCCAGATGTAAAAAGTAAAACAATAATGTGTGTTTACAAAGGGAACTTCCAGGGAGTCAGTGGGACTCTGTGGGTCTAAAGGCAGCCCTCGAGGAACCTGTAAGACTCAGTGTTTACAAAGGGAACCTCCAGGGAGTCAGTGGGACTCTGTGGGTCTAAAGGCAGCCCTCGAGGAGTCTGTAAGACTCAATGTTTACAAAGGGAACCTCCAGGGAGTCAGTGGGACTCTGTGGGTCTAAAGGCAGCCCTCGAGGAACCTGTAAGACTCAGTGTTTACAAAGGGAACCTCCAGGGAGTCAGTGGGACTCTGTGGGTCTAAAGGCAGCCCTCATGTTAACAAGGCTGTAAAACGGGACTAAGATTGTCATGCAATGAGAATAACACCTCATGAAAGAATTATCGTTTGCTGCGCAAAAATGATCAGTTACACTGAATATCGTACATTAATTAACAGAGAAACCCATGATCGATTTAGGAATTACGCGGATAAAATTGAGATGGTTCAGTGGGGAGCATGGCGGCCTAACACAGCTTGTGTGTGTGTAGTTCGGAGGCCTAACACAGCTTGTGTGTGTGTAGTTCGGAGGCCTAACACAGCTTGTGTGTGTGTAGTTCGGAAGCCTAACACA